TGCGGCTCCGGAGCCGCAGGTTGCAGACCCCTGATCTAGCAGATTCGGAATGAAATGTCTCAACAACAGTTGTTCTAAATTACTTGCTTTTGACCCCAAGTGCTCAGAGAAATCTGTCAAAATTTTCATTCGTTTGAAAACCAGGAAGTTATATAAAAAAATGAACATCAGGGAGAACCTTTCGTGTGGTTAATGAGCATATTTTGCAAAATTACAAAGAGCACGCCTTTTTTCATCTTATTTAAAACAAGTGTAAACTGAAAGAATTTTTATCAGATTTCCTGAAAACCTTTTCTCTCAAATTCCTTTTTTCCAATGCAGTTTTTTTTGTGTACACTCAGAAAGCATAACCCATTAAGATGCTCCCCTGTCATCGTTGACCTTGGCCAGGTCTTTACTCTCTGCAAGGTACTGAACGACAGCTCTATGGTACAGGCGCTGCATGGCTGAGCAAGAGAGATGAGCAGCGCCTTTTTTTGTTGTAGAGTAAAAGATTTCCGCCTCTTTTCCTAGGTCTGCTATGTTCAGCTCTTTTGATTGGTCTTTGCTGAGTTTCTTCTCCTGTCACACGGAGTACCATAGTTCAGCTTTGGAGTCAAAGTCTTGCAACTTATAAAAACTTGAGAACTGCTTGGCTTTCATCTTGAACGCTCATATCCCACATAAGGCGGTGTACAGTGGTGCCTCGCAAGACGAAATTAATTCGTTCTGCGAGTTTTTTCGTCTTGCGAAGCACGGTTTCGGAAAAGCTTCAAAAATCACCAAAGTCTTCAAAAACCTCAAAAAAGGCTACCACACCGCGTGCTAAGAGTTGCTCCTCGAAGTCAAGTCGCAACTGTATTAACGGTGTTAAGTAAAAGGAAACAAACTTGCAAGACGTTTCCGTCTTGCGAAGCAAGCCCATAGGGAAAATCGTCTTGCGAAGCAACTCAAAAAACCAAAAACCCTTTCGTCTTGCGAGTTTTCCGTCTTGCGAGGCATTCGTCTTGCGAGGTACCACTGTAGAGCCAAAATTGAAAAGGCAGGTGAATGCTCTTCTGAGAAACGTTGCTCTAACGAAGACACTAAAGAGTTCAAGTAAGGAATTACTAGAAATCTCTTCCAGTACTCTAAAGGGCTGGACGCTGGAGCCATGTTGCTGTCTTCCAACAAATCTTGACACCACCAATTCCACTCCAACTTCCTCAGCAATCTTGTAGACATCCTCTATGAGCTCTGTAGCAACTTGCTCTGCATCACTGCAGCGAGTTGTTATTGGTCTAAGGATCAGTTTGATGTGCTCTGAATAATGGAGCAGGTGCGGGATTTTAGAACTGCAGAGCATTTGCCACAGGTCCCCAGGCAGAATACTTGGCTACCAGAGCAATGATGAATTGAGCTTTGGTGGCAGCACAATGTAGCTGGAAGGCCTGTTTCCTTATGTTGCTATTTCCTTTAAACAATAATCTCTCCAACCCATCAACGGTGCTCACAAAATGCTCTTGGAAAACTACAATACTTTTGGGACCATCGCGTCTCACAGAGGAGTGGAATGTTTAGAGCGTAGTGTCCGGGCTGAACGACGGGGGTGGGGACGCTCCTTCAGGTATACTGGGCCGAGGCTGTTTGGGGCTTTAAGGGTCAGCGCCAACACTTTGAATTGTTGGGGTGCCTTCCAGGGCTTTTTTTCCCCTGGCAGAAATCACCAGAACTCAGTTCTGGCACCACCACTCAGGTGTGTTCAGGGTGAATTCCGGCACCTCGTTTATTGGAAAAAATAGCACTGGTCTCTTCCAACCATGGGTGGACTGCCTCCCATCAAGTAAATTTAACAAAAATCGAAATACTTAACTGAAAGCAGAAATTATCAGAATATTTGAAATTGAAATGCTCCCTGAGGTCACTTGGATGATGTTGTGGCACGTTCTAGCGACTGCATGCAACTAACACAGAGCAGAACAGAAAATGGTGCTTTTTTATATCCTTACCAGTGACTGTCTCTCCACCCTAAAGTAGGGTTACCAGACGTCCCTGTTTCCCAGGGACAGTCCCCGGATTTGCAAATTTGTCCCCGGACAAATTCCATCCCCAGAATGTCCCTAGATTTCATCTAATGTCCCCAGGAAACATGGCAGCAGCAGCGGCAGTCTCAGCAGCCCGGAATCAGCCTAGTAGCGCAGTTGGCTCTGGCTAGCTTCAGGAGCTGCCTGCTTCCGTGATGCCCGCTATTTTGCCTCGCTGGAAGTCCCCATATGATGTGTTGCACACAAGACACATCATATAGGGACTCGGAGTAGGGGCTGAAGACATGGTGTTGGGCGCTGCTGCTGGGGGAAAGCTGCGCAGGGTCGTTGAGTTTGGTGCACCACTGCAACTTGGGCTCAGCTCGCTGTCAGCGCCGCTTCCCAAGGCCATCGGCTCAGCCTCTGGGTGGTGCTTGGGCAGCTGCGGCTGCGCCATTGTGCTCCTGAACTTGCAAGCGGCGGCTCAGCTTGTTGGCCAGCTCGTCGTTGGCCATTGTGGACAATCTGGCCCAAGCGTGCCTCCTCCCGCTTGCTCGCCGCCAGCTCTGCCCCGGACCCACTGACTGGGCGTGCTACAGTGCAGATAGATAGATAAACTTTATTTGTGTTAGCCAACGGCCATAGCAACATAAAACAAGCAATATATACCTGAAGGAGGGTCTCCACCCGCATCGTTCAGCCCGGACACTGAGATCCAGTGCCGAGGGCCTTCTGGCGGTTCCCTCATTGTGAGAAGTGAGGTTACAGGGAACCAGACAGAGGGCCTTCTTTGTAGTGGCGCCCACCCTGTGGAACACCCTCCCTTCAGATGTGAAGGAAATAAGCAGCTATCCTATTCTTTAAAAGACATCTGAAGGCAGCCCTGTTTAGGGAAGTTTTTAATATTTAATGCTGTATTGTTTTTAACACTTGATTGGAAACTGCCCAGAGTGGCTGGGGAAACTCAGCCAGATGGGTGGGGTATAAATAATAAATTTATTATTATTATTATTATTATTATTATTATTATTATTATTAAAAGACAACAATGGGTAAAAAGGGCAATCAAATGACTAAGATTATCGTTCAGATAGTGGCCCTTAATCTCACTGCACCCTCGATAAACCCAGCAACCTTTGCTGTTGTCTGATCATTTTGATCTGATAAAAGAAAGGATACTGTGGCTGCAGATGGGCGGCCTGGGATGGTAAGTAGGGTGGGGATGGGCGGCCACGGGACGATCCCTGCGCAGGAGACGCCCAGACAGACGGGCAGGGCAGCAGCAGGAGGAGGGGGGTTCTGTTAACGCTTACTCCCGAGTAAGACTATAGGGGATCGCAGTGCAAGGGGGGGGGGAGCACGGCTAGCGCTCCAAGAAAGGCCGGGACCCAGAGGAAGGCGGCGCAACAGAGGAGACCACAGAAAAGAAGATATTACTTCTTTATCTTTTTATATAACATTTTTCCTCTTAAAAATAAATTGATTTATTGATAGTGTCCCGGGATTCATTGAAATAAATCTGGCAACCTTTACCCTAAAGACCATTCCTTCCCCGATCCAGACTTCACGCTGCACTTCGAAAGCCCTCAGACCCTCCCAAGCCAGAGAATGAAGTCAGAAATAATACTCCACTTCCGCCCAGAACCTAGAGCTCCGAGGAAGCAGTTCAGAATTCCCGCTCAAACTCCTCTCTCTCCCCCTCTCCTCTTTCTTTTCCTCTCTCTGTCCCGCCTCTTCCGGTGACGCCGCGCGCCCTTTTCTGAGCCTGCGCATTCTTCTTTCACTCCCCTCCGCCCTGCCCGATTCCCAGCTGTTTCTGGGGGACCCTGCAGAAAACTTGTACTTGGGAGAGTGAAGTCTGTTGTTGTTGTTTAGTCGTTTAGTCGTGTCCGACTCTTCGTGACCCCATGGACCAGAGCACGCCAGGCACTCCTGTCTTCCACTGCCTCCCTCAGTTTGGTCAGACTCATGCTGGTAGCTTCAAGAACACCATCCAACCATCTCGTCCTCTGTCGTCCCCTTCTCCTTGTGCCCTCCATCTTTCCCAACATCAGGGTCTTTTCCAGGGAGTCTTCTCTTCTCATGAGGTGGCCAAAGTCTTGGAGCCTCAGCTTCAGGATCTGTCCTTCCAGTGAGCGCTCAGGGCTGATTTCCTTCAGAATGGATAGGTTTGATCTTCTTGCAGTCCATGGGACTCTCAAGAGTCTGCTCCAGCACCATAATTCAAAAGAATTATGAGAGGTCTAGTACTAGAGAGGTCTAGAATTATGAGAGGTCTAGTAGCCACTAACTGGCGACTGAAGGTGGAGAAAGGGAAGGGGTTTTATATTGCCAGAAACAACGCGGGTTGTGTGTGTTGTGGCAGGGTGTCACCCTCTCAAGCAGGGATGATAGGATGTGTATAAGAGTCTCTTCCCTCCCCATAGCCATTTCTTCGGATTCAGCCTCTTCCCCCCCCCTCCTATGCATGTCAGTGGAGAGAGAATTCTGCCCGTTAACTTGCACTGACTTGTGTGTGGACGTGGGCACGCAAGTGGTTTTGGTTTTTTGCATGCAAGATTCACTTCTCACACTGCGTCATAAAGACAGTGCAGCAAACTAAGAACTTCCCATTTTTTATTCCGCTTTACAATTGCACGTGGCACGGAACGGCGTTATAAACAAGGTATCATACATGGTGACAATGGCGTTTGAGAAAAGTAGCAGCACAGTGATGCCTCATAAGCAAAAGCGGTTTCCAGTGTGGACTGCACCCCAAGGTGTGGTTCATCACAGGAAACCTCCCACCCCCAATGTCCTGATCCTCAAAAGCATAAATCTACTGGAATGTAAGCCTGCGGGCAACAACGGTGATATGTCTTTGTACTGAACTTTGTACAGAAGCCCGCCCTCTTTTGGATTGTTACCATCTAGCTTGATGGATTCTGGAAAACTCGAAAGCTTGCACGCTCTTTTGTTTGCATTTTTATTTAATAGTTGGCCTAATAAAGGCATTGCCCTTATATGGATTTTGGGAAGAAAAAAAACCTTTAGGTATTTTTAATGTATACATAAGTGGGTATTTTTTTAAGCCCCAAAGCTTTCAATTGACAGCACGATCCCATCGCAGGAACTATAGATGGCAGCAGAGAGCTTGGTCCGTTCCGCAGGACCAGGAAGTGGCGCCCTTGTGACGTTCCATTTTCTCTGCGCGTCGTTTTGTTTTGTTGGAACATACCACGAGCCGCGGGAGGGGGGGGAGGATGCTTGCATTCCCAAAGCCCTAGAAGAGAGAAAGGAGTGAAGCCACGCCTAAAACGAGCTGCATCGGTTAGGTAACAACCCCTCTATCGTTACATACATCTCAGAGGATGCGGCAGGAAGAATAGCATCGGCTTGCGTTAAGAGGCTATAGGTCTTCCCCCCCCTTCCCATTCACCTTTAGTAGGGCTGGTCCGAGGGTTAAGTTGTTCGGCCTGGGAAGCATCAGCGGTTAGGGCAGGTGAGTCTCCAGTTCATATTCTCAAAGGTGGGTTGGGGGACAGCTCGCCTCCCCTCGGCCTGCTGGTTGCCTTGGTAACCAACCGTCCCCACCCGCTCGCGCCGGTGGCTTCGTGGCCTTTGATGGCGCCTTGATAAGCCACAAAACTGGTAAGGGGCGAGCAGTGCCGTATTTACGTATAAGCTAAACAAGCTATAGCTTAGGGCCTCGCTCTCTTGGGGGGGCCCCAAAAAATTTAAAGGGGGAAAAACTGGCTGTACATTGCCAAAATATCACTGGTTTGCTAATTACTATATATAGGGTGCCTACATTCTGCTATTTATAATTATTAGCAGTTTGCATCATATATTTACACCTATTATAGCAAGTTTCTAAGAGACTAGACTCTGTGTCTTTGTAAATTGCGTTTCTAAAGGAACTTTTGTTATTGCCAAATGCCAGTGTGTTTGCATTATTAAGTTTGTTATGAATACAAAAAATCATTTTAAGTTAGAGCTTAATAATTATTTCACTATTAATAAAAAAAGGTAAAGGGACCCCTGACCGTTAGGTCCAGTCATGGCTGACTCTGGGGTTGCAGCGCTCATCTCACTTTATTGGCCGAGGGAGACAGCGTACAGCTTCTGGGTCATGTGGTCAGCATGAATAAGCTGCTTCTGGCGAACCAGAGCAGCGCAGGGAAACGCTGTTTACCTTCCCGCCGGAGCGGTACCTATTTATCTACTTGCACTTTGACGTGCTTACGAACTGCTAGGTTGGCAGGAGCAGGGACCGAGCAACGGGAGCTCACCCCGTCACGGGGATTCAAACCGCCGACCTTCAGATGTTTTCTAAAGGTTGTATCTCCTTTGCATTGGGGTCACATAACTCCATACCCTCCAAAATGCCTCTGATGAAAATAGGGACATTCTAAGGAAAAGCAAGCTATTCCAGGATCAAATCAGAAACTGGGACTGTCGCTGGAAAATAGGGGAACCAAGTGGGTCTGAATGATGTCAGGGGGCAGGGCCTGCTCTTTCCATATGTGATTCGAAACAAAAAAAATATATTACTAAGCTGTAAAATGAAATGTTGCTTTTCAAAATGACGCAGAACTTCTATGTGCGCTGCAACGTGCATGTGTGTATGGCATGTGCAACACATGAAAGGATCTAATTTTCTCGTATTTATTTAAATATATGTTAGTTAGGACGCCCCCTGTTTTAGATAAGTACCGTATTTCTCGTCCCATAGGACGCTCCGTCCCATAGGACGCACCTAGTTTTTTGGGGGGGGAATAAAGGGAAATTTTTTCCCTTTATTTCCCCCCCAAAACCAGATCAGGGAAACAGAACCAGGTCGAGGAAGTGCGAAAGATAAGCACATTAATTTTTTTCTGGCATGCAGATGAAATGATAGGTAGAGCTTCTGCTTGATTTCTTTGCATGCTTGACTGCTTCTAAAGGGGCTCAGGCAGCGACCTGGCATGGAATATTTTCCATAATGGAACATTTGCTGCCCCTGTATTTTCTATGGAAAAATGGTCATTCCTAAAATGCATAGTTACATAAATTAGTTACATAGGATTGTATACAACGTTGCACAGGCAGTGCTGTGAAGGTAAGAACTGCTGAACCTTCCAAAATTCCCTCTTCTGCACATCTCTAAAAAGTACAAAAGTTCTGTTTTCTGTTCATCCTAGGGAGCACCTTCCTACAAGACTCCTTCCCTGGGCAACTGTTCACATGACTGTTCAGGCTAGTTCAGGGAGGATGGTATCCACAAGCTAGTTCCACAGGATTAATCTGTGCTTCTTTTAATTCTGCTTAGGTTTTTGTTTGAACTTAGAAATGTTGAGCAAAAGTCCAGGGTATTTCTCCCACCCCTTCTGGGACTCAATCAATAGTTTCTTATTTAGCAACACTCAATTTTAATATTAAATCAGGAATAGATGGCAAGGCTATATCTGTGTCTTTCCTGATATTTTAAAATTCAGATTAAAATCTATGAAGCATGGATTAAAGGGATTAAGGAAAATAAGCTATTTTTCAGTGCTGTTTCTCATTATAATAAAACCTCTGAATTGTTAACAAAAATAATCTAAGCTTACTAGTAGAAGTATTGCTAAATGATCACCGAGGAATCTCCGCAATGAAATTCAGCATATTCAGGTGCAGTTCCAAACTGAAGCCACACATGAAACCACTAGAGGGCAATCTGGACACTTGCTTGAAGTCAGCTGCTATTTGACATTAAGGTCTACCTTTAAGTCACACTTAAAGCACGTTTCCCCCCTCAAAGAATTCTGGGCATTGTAATTCGGTCAAGGATTTCTGGGGACTGTAACATTGTGAGGGGTAAACTACAGTGTCCATAATTCTCTGAGGGAAAGAGAGTTTGGAGTTGGAATTCCATTGTTGATGTGGAAGAAAGACGACAAAACAAATCTGTGTTGCCATTTTGTTCTTTGTGTTAAACTGATAATTTGATTTCCTTGCAGAGGAAGAAAATGAATCAAGTGTTTTTATTCTCCTTCACCACCAAAATCCCCCTCTTCTCCCATTTGCACAATTGTTTTATCCCAGGCTTGTTATTTTCATTTAAAACCATCTCAGTTCACTTTCATAGCTTGACACTTTGCTGTGGGGTATTCCTACCCTCCATAAATATTGCCATTCTCTGTTTTGGTTGCACTGCTTTTTTAATGGGAGGGCAGCTTATCTATTTTCCTTTGCAAAAGCCAGGATGAACTGCCGTTCAGAGGTACTGGAGATATCAGTGGAGGGGCGCCAGATTGAAGAAGCGATGCTCGCCGTTTTGCACACCATATTGCTCCATCGCAGCACAGGAAAGTTCCACTACAAGAAGGAAGGGACCTACTCCATTGGGACAGTCGGCACACAAGATGTTGACTGTGACTTCATTGATTTTACCTATGTTAGAGTTACTTCCGATGAGCTTGACCGGGCATTGAGAAAAGCTGTTGGGGAATTCAAGGTAATGCTTGCTATTACTCACTGTTTATTTTTTTAAGTACATGAGACTGCCCATGAAGATGGTTCAAAAACTTCAATTTTTCCAAAATGCAATTGAGCCACCAAGGTTTGGGCAGTGACCAAGAGAATGGAACATGTGACGCTGGTCTTTTGCCACCTTCACTGGTGACTAAGTTCTTTCCAGGCTCATTTCCCTAAATAGCCTGCTACTGGATAGTTTGCAGAATCACCTCGTCCCATATAAACCTGCTCAAGAACTCCATTCCTTTTCTGTGTCCAGCAAGTCTTTATTGCAGTTGTCCCCATGTCTGCATGGAATTCTTCTCCACATATCTTAACAAGTGTTTTGTACAGCATGGCTGGGTGATAGTTGTTACCTTTTTAAATAAGGGGATTTAGGACACCAAGGAGTTCTGTCTCCAGTTTTATAAGCACATTGTTTTGCTCAACTGTTCAGTGGAATTGGGTTAGATTTCTATCATACAGCTCCCACATACTATCAATTAATGTACATAATTTGGAAGACATATTTTTTAATCTGCATTCTGGTAACTTAGCAGTAGGATGTTTAAATTTGAAATTTGGTAATATATGAGAAAGTAAAATGGATGCCAGGCACAGTGAATGACAATGCCCATGTAGGGCTGAAGGGAAAGAACTGGAATGAATGTAGAAAGACAGGGTCTTGCATAGTGTAAAGCCATCCAGCCAATTGATGACTGGAACCAGAGTTAACTCCTTTTAGCAAATATTGCCTTGAGCAATTCTCAGTCTTGGGAGTTAGGAAAATGTGCTTGATCTTCAGAGTTATGAAAAGCTTTTGGTTCATATGAAATTTTGGCCATACAACTGTCTATCCACCTTGAATATGGATGCACAGCACGATTCTTAATAGAGGGAGCAGTGATTTTTATATATTGTGAAGGTCTTTGGGAATCAGCATTGTTAATTGGTGGTTCTGTATTCCCAGGATGCACTGCGGAACTCGGGCAATGATGGGATGGGCCAGATCTCGCTGGAGTTCTACCAGAAGAAGAAATCACGGTGGCCATTCTCTGACGAGTGTATCCCATGGGAAGTCTGGACGGTCAAAGTGAACGTGGTGAGCCTGGCTAATGAGCAGGAGCGGCAGATCTGCCGTGAGAAGGTTGGTGAGAAGCTCTGTGAGAAGATCATCAACATTGTAGAAGTGATGAACCGACATGAGTACCTGCCCAAGATGCCCACCCAGTCCGAGGTGGACAATGTCTTTGATACGGGGCTGCGGGATGTCCAGCCCTACCTGTACAAGATTGCTTACCAGATCACTGACTCACTTGGAACCTCTGTCACTACAACCATGCGGCGCCTCATCAAGGACACCCTGGCACTCTGATCTCCATGAGACTGTAGACCTGACATTATTGAGAGGCAACATGAGCCACTGGCTTTCTGTCCAAAAGGACCAAATACATATTCTCTCCCAGAAAATCTGGGAGTCTTGCTATCCAGGTGCCCTGTTCTAATTTATTAATTTCCAAGTATCTCCAGGGCAAAGACAGAACCAGCCCTGACTCCTGGGTTCAGTACACCAGTTTACGTGGAACGCAGCCTCTCACAGCAGAAAAGGAAACCAGGATTCTTCCTTCAGCCCCCTTTTCTGTTAGACTTAGCTCTACAAGCTTAGAAGGTGTGCCTCTTCATGGGAGAAAATAGTGTGTATTTTTTTGTGAGCATTTCCCTAATATAGGACAGATGATAACTCCAAGCTTGGTTCTCTCCATGACCAGATGCCTTTATTTATTAACTGTAGAGTCTTTCGTTAATGGAAATCTGCCAGAGCTGGGGTTACTTATCTTGGCAAAATGGGTGCCTTTCATCCTGATAAACCACTCCTTCTCCTTGACCCTCTTCTGACTTTAAGATAATTGAATAAGATTATAAGTCTTCCTGTCTTGTTCATGTCGCAGTTACAGATAGGTAGCCGTGTTGGTCTGCCATAGTCAAAACAAAAAAAATCCTTCCAGTAGCACCTTAAAGACCAACTAAGTTAGTTCTTGGTATGAGCTTTCGTGTGCATGCACTATCTGAAG